CTTTTAAGTTATAATGAAAAAACTAGTACTGCTGGAACATAATTAAAAACCTAGAATCATGCTTAATAGCAACCGTAAAGCAAATTAAGGCTTTATGTGATGCAGTTATAACTATGTAGCTTTTGTGAAAAATCTATCCTTGACTACAAAGAAAATTTGGGTTTGAGGCCAACAGACGTTCATGATTATAATATATAACTGATACATCTCAACAACATAAAAATTGTAAGAAGAAAGTGTAACAACAGTGGTTTTACTTTCAAGAACTGTGTTGGGAACTAAAAAAGAATCTCACAAAATTAGATAAATATATCCAGTCTGACATAAACACCATATGGTAACTGCCTTAAGAGACAGGAGTTGTATGTTATGTGTTAAAATTATGACACAGAGGTAGTAAAAGTCGGAAAGCAAACGGAATTTGCACAGTTGGGTCTGAAGCCTAATATTTTATTTTTCTAGATAAAAATAAGATTGCAATATTATAGCTTCGGAATTTTTCTCCTGTCTAGTAAAACTTCATACAAGGAAGCAGTTATTATTATATTGCCGTAATTTTCCAAATAACGGCATGTTTTAGCAGATCCTCCCTGGCTGCACCATTTATTGAATTTTAGTTTAAAATAAAACCTAATGTTAACTACATTTGCAGCAACTGAAAATGGTCTTGAAATTCAATAATTTTCTTTTTCTTACCCGAGGGACTAGAATCAATCCCATAGCATAATTAGGAATGTTTCAATTGATCTCTGGGTCACCATAAGCACCAAGCACATGGAAACCCAAATACACCCTAGAAAGACTCAGAGATGAGAATTATAACATTCTAGGTCTTATATCAAAAAATACTGCTTTGCAATACACAAAGAGAAATGGCTGAAATACATGGGCAATATGCTGCCTCAAATCCTTCTTGAAAGTAGGCAGTGTCAATATTATAAATCAATAAATAATATTTAGATAGCATAAATCTAAAATAGTTTAAAGCACGTGCCTCCCAAAACAAAGGACGTCCTAAAAGCCCACAAAACAAAAAACCTGATGTAAATAGATTTTAAATACTTCCCTTTGAGAATAGTATAATCTTTCTATCCACATAACAGAAAAGACATGATTATTCCAAGTTTAGCTGCTGAATCTATCATATTTATAGCAATCCCATTTTGTGAGCATCTTGGCTGCTGAATCCTGTGTATTCAGAAAGACAGTAGGAGCTATAGTCACAAATTACTTTAACTCGTTCAGCTATTTCAAAATGGTGGAGGAACTTCACCTTTGCAAAAAGGCAACAGAGGCTTAACTGGAAAGTATTTCCAGAATCTCATTTAATAGAAAGGTAGTCAACAGTGGTTCTACCACTAACAGCTCTGCTTCTAAGAAATAGGTGAAATTAGAGTAAGAACTGAAAGAGAAGCAGCCAAGAATGAAAGAGGAATGAAAGGAGAAAAATCAGGGGAAAGTATAATATAAGGAAGAGGGTAAGGTAAATATAAAATAAAAAAACCCACACACATAAAAGAGGGAAGGAGGAGGGAAAAAAGTGATGCCCAAGAATGGGAAAAAAACCAGTCAAAGATCTCTCTTAGGATATAGTAACAAGTTTATCAAACAACTTGAATAATTACCCTAAGAATGTCATTATGAAATACACTCCAAACTCAAACTATGCATTTTTTTCTCTAAAGAAACTAATCATCTCCTTTTTAGAAATAAGGAATGAGCTTTGAAAAGTTAACATGCCTAAAGTTAAGTAAGAGGCAGTCTCAGCTTATCATTGCCTCACAATCAGAGATTACTAGAGTATTCATATTCACAAAAAGACTCACCGGATGCTCTTTTAAAGAGCCAACACTGTGAGTGAATTCAAAATTGCATTTATAAGAAATTTATTTTTATCTAACTCCTCTGAAATGGTTTGTATATAAATCAAGATACAAAGACATTATCTTTCTTTCTGAATCTATAAAAACTTTTCAATCAAAATGAAAGCACTACTCTACTTTCCAGAAATACAAAAATTTTAATTCAAATGATCATGAAGCATTAAAAACTCTTCCCACTGTTTATAAACTAGTAGCACACCATGTGGTACGAACTGTTCTTTTCATGAATGATAATTAAAAAAAGGAAAATTCACTCTAATAGTGTAGATTAATACAACCTAGCAATACCAACATCAGTTTGTCTGCCAAAATGCTAAACCCAAGTGGAAATCTAAGGAATATACTAGGCTGCTGGCAATGCTTTCATAGAGACCAAATTTTTGTCTAGATTTGTAGTAGTTTTCTACAAAAAACTGTACTCCATAATATTTTGGGCCTGGACATTTATACATTCCAGAGCCTTCTAAACCTCCAGTTAATTTCTGTGGCAATCACAGGTAGGGGGCTCCTGAAAGTGTTCTGCCCTGGCTAGACAAATTTTACCTACACCACTGAGAAAGGACAAATAACTTAGCTGTTATTGGCCTGAAACAGAATTAAATCAATGGTATTCTCCAGAATGAAATATATATACTGAATTGTTCATCTCTTCCTTCTGATGCTACATGCAATTTAAGGACTGTAGCAAGAGTTGAATCGATCATCAAATAAAGAAAAAACAAGAAACAACATAGATGTTAGCTGTTAACCTAATAAAATTAAAAATGAAAGCAAGTGAGTGAAAAGTGGTTCTCTCTAAGTCAGATTTTTATGCATTTTGTTTATTTTGGCACCTACAGGCTCCTAATAAATAAATGTTACTCACAATTGTATACAATAAAACTAATAAAACTTTAACACTAGTTATAAAGAAATACTAAATAAGACATTACAAAATGACCTTTTTCTTGGCAGTAGTAGCATTATAGGAAATTAACAAGTAATCTATGTAAGTTAACAACCTGTTTCCTTTATAATGGACAAAACAGTCAGAAAAGGACTTTATTAATCATCCAATTGTTGGCATATGCCTGTTGTCCAGCAATCTATATAAGACAGGTACTGTCAGTGACAAGTGATGATGTGAGGCTTAAAATCATTGTATCCCTAATATGTATCACAAAGAACATTTTTTTTACTATTGTTTCAAGGGCTAGTTATAGAACTCAATTGTGCTATAAAATGATCTTAGCTTTGAGAACTTCCTTTTTGAATCTCTTGGCATCTAATAATTTCCCATAGCCCAGTTCTTCTGGTCACTGAAGAACCCAATTCATAATAACAAGACAAGGGCAATGTGTTAACCTCTCCAGGGCTCAGGATATTTTAGAAAATGCAACCTACAGGAATGCTTGACTCAAGGGAATGAATTGCTGGTGGTGACTTCTGGAGGGTGGCAGGAGACATTCTGGGAGGAAAAGCCTGTCAAATTATACTATCAAGCGGGCAGCCCACTTGCTTGACACTAAAATCGGCCCTGATTATCACATTACTTTGTATTAACACATTCAACACATTTATATATTTTGAACTACACAGCATGGTCCTGGTATTGAAAGCTAATATAGTATTAGCTCGAACTACTCAGTTTATATACATGTATGTTGCATAACCTTGACTCACATGTAACTTTCACTGCAGATTATTCTAATTGCACTTAATCTGTTATTTCTCAAGAAAAGACATTTTTACTTCATATAAATTCATGGCAATATTTTTAACATATTACTGAAATGGCATACTACCCTTGTTATTATATTTCAACACTTAATCAGTGATTTGTGGATTTTTCTAATCCCCAATTTAACATTTCCAAACATTGAAAATAAACTAAATACACAGCTCAATTTTTTTTTTTTTACAACTTTCTTTAAGGAAAATGCTGAAAGCAGAATCTATAAAATGCCATATTTTACCTTAATTCTAGGTGAAATAATAAAATAGAAATTCATTAATTCATGTAAATAAAAATAATATCCCCTCAAAAAAAGACCTTACCACATTTTTACAGATAATAGTGCAAATTAAATAATTACACAGTAACAATAGCCTCAAAACTGTACCTCATTTCATTACTCAATTCTATTATCTTCTTGCAGTTTTATGATTATTCTGGTGAGGCTGAAATTTATGAATTCTATTAAAATCAAAGGCCTTCCAGTACACTAAAATAATACTGAGACCATTATGATTTCTTATGAATAATCATTATTTTAAACATCTTTGTCTTGACATAAATTATGAAAATTTAACTTAGAAGAAAAATATTATAATACCATAATCCATTAAATAAAAAATACAGTGAGCTAGGTCAAAGTCAGTATTTTAAGAAACAATTAAGGTAATGTACTCAAGAGCACTTTTCTTGTTCACTAGGATAGGAAAGTGAAACAAAATTAGTACTTTACTCCATAACAGCAAGTTTACTGCACTTCTAAATGCTTGACTATCTCCAAAAATACACTTCTCATTGTTTTATAATACACACACATTTTATACTTGTGAGTTAGCATAGTAATTTTTCTTCTTGAGAAGACATTACAAAATGAAGCACTGAAATGAACAAAACCTCACAGGCAAAATTTTAGGAAATCCGAAATCATTTTGCCTGGATCATAATTCAAAGACAGTGACAAATGTTAGTCAGGGAAGAAAAATCAGTAGAAATATAAAATATGAAAAGTCTTTAAAATCCAGACAGCAAATATAAAAACAGACCTAAGTGAAAGGTTGGAGAGATAGTTAAAGAAATGAGGTATGATGGAGTCATAGTGCTACAATATATCTCAATGTATTAAGTTAATAACCTATATTTCAAAGTTGCAAAATCAACAAATCATAAACTATTTGCTGCTGTGTTCACATGATCTTTCTGGTTGGATGTTTAACTGTCACTAATACATTTAAAATAAGCATGAAGCTAAATGCATGATCATATGGTGAGCTTATCTGCTGCATAAGAAGGCAAATTATAAGTAAAAATGTAAGCAAACAATTTTGTATTAATAATAAATACAGCTTCAAGCATTTAACATTATCCATATTTTAAAAATTTAAATAATAAGTGCAACTATTTTATACAGAACTGTACCATTTATTATACACACAAGTATATCAGTTCCCTTTGTTTACAAAGGCTGGTTATAGATAATATGGAATGTTACAGTACCATCTTGCATAAAATTCTAGTACAATTTTGTACTTGAAAAAGGGTGCAAAAACACCAGCCTAATAAATCTGACTGAATTGAAATATCTTTTCTTTCTTTTTAAAAAGTACATCATTAACACATACCCCACAAACTGTACATAAGCTCACTTTTAAATCACCAACTGAAGACATAGTAGCAGGTATATTGTAGTATTAACTATTCCTCCCACCAGTTTAATTTATTAAAAGCTTACACTGCTACTCATTCAAGAGCCTTTGTTGATGTGTAAGCTTGTCATATGAATTACTGAACCCAGGTAAGTACAATTTAAAGGAGGCCAACAACAGCTGCCAAGAATTATTTGTAGTAAGAAATGTCCTTCTCACAGAAGACTCACTTAGGAGCAAACATTCTTTACGATATCTTTCTTCCTTCAAATATATTGTAGCTGGTCAAGATTCCCCATTTTGAACTCTGGATGCTGGTGGTTGCATGAAATCCTTAAAGGGAACTAGTGCCTCTTTAAGTGCAGAACAGACTTCTGAAGAAGAGCAGGTGATGCATTCTACTAAAGTTGGGTATAAGGCAATTACTTGTGCCCAGGTATTTCCATCAACTGTAATGCAAAAGTATAAAACCTCAAAAAAGGGTAGATTTAAATAGCAGAGATTATCCAATTAACATAAACACAATCCTTTAAATGCAATGTAAAGAAAAAATTCTGAACTATGAAGATTCTACAAGCTCATATTTTTTCATTTTTTCATCTTTGGAAGATTATCTGCTATAGTTAATAAGGTATGGGAAAAATATATGATCAGTGTGCAGAGTCATCAATACTAAAAAATTTGATAAAGCACATTTTAAATGGTACTTCAATTTGTGAAGGCTTCAGAAGCTAATAAAGTAATATAGAACAATCCAAACCTTTGTCATTTTCAGTATAACTGCCAGAGAATGTAGTGTATATCTTAAGAACAATAGAAACAATTCAATTTTTTATTTAGTTGTCTGGTAAAACCATAAATCATTTGAAATATAAAATATTCAATGATTTTTCTAATAATGTCCTTAATACTGATTTTATAGACTGTTTGCTAACCTTTAACATATACCACTAGATGTAGACTCTAGTGGGGAGGGACCATGTCTGCCTTCCTCACCACTAGCAACAACTAATACACACCTGAATGCTATTTTTTGAATGGGCAAAAGTGTTATATCCCAATAAGTAATCTTCTTATACTCTGAGATCACATATTACATTTCTATTTTCCTGTAAGTAAAATAGTGTTGAGCACCCAATACACAACAAAACCTGCTGATAGATTTTTGTTAGACAGTAAGCACTTTCTGGAATAATTCTCAAATCTGGGAGGCAGCATAGTATAAAAGAAAGAATCTATTCTAGGTGTAAGGAGTTTTTATTTTATTTTTCACTCCAATTTACTGGGTGTCAATTGGCTAAATTCTTTCTGAAAAAAGGCAGTGTTTGGAGTCCCTGGTCAAGTCTTTTAATTTCTCTTTACTGCAGCTTTTTCACAGTACAGTAAAGGAATGAGTTTCTTAAACTAGTGTTCCTTAATTTACTTCTTAAGAAAAAGTTCACGGTCAAGTAAGATTGGCAGATGTTGCATATCTTTCTTTTTTGGGGAATGATAGTTCATATTAATTTATTATGGGTTTGCAGTCAAAGAACAAATTTAACTTTATCTAACCAAGGGTTTCCAAAATAATTTGATTACAGAATTTTTTTGCCATCCAATATCTACTGACATCACTCATAGTCGGTGTTCATTCCTTAGTATATATCTTGAAAATGCTGAACTGTTTGTTCATTTAGCCTCTTTTCCCAAGCAGGGAAACCTCTTTTCCTCGGGGTGGGCGTGGGAAAAGAAAAGGGGCGTGGTGCTGATGAGTACTGGTGAGGGTGGGGAATGTTTGCATAGACTGTTCTGCTTTTATCTGTTTAATATGTTAAGAATTCACATCACATTTCATTTGTAAAAGAATTTTGCTGCTTAACAGAAAACAAAAAAATAAGTCTAAAAATCACTGGTCTAAGAAGTTTAAAACAGTCTGCTCCAGTTATCTTCTGTGAAACTTTACACTAATCATTTAACACAAGATTATACAGATTGAAACCTACATAGGCTGTCCCAGATGGAAAGTCAACTGACCAAATGAATTTTTGGTTTATCACAGGAAAACATAAAAACACATTAAAACAACATCTTAAATAAAACTCAAAGGAAGTTATTCCAATTTCTTAAACCAAAATATTTTTTAAAAACCCACCATATATCTTTGTGAGGACTTCGGGCTTAACTATCAAAAAGAATGAAAAAGCTGTATGAATTGATATGGAATAATCCCCATGATATTCTGTTAAGTGGAAAAAAAGAAAGAGATTCAGAACATAGATATGATAAGGGGCTATTGGGCATCATTTGTGTATAAAACTGAGGGCTTATGAGATTCAGAACAGTAGATATGATAAGGGGCTATTGGGCATCATTTGTGTATAAAACTGAGGGCTTATGAGATTCAGAACAGTAGATATGATAAGGGGCAATTGGGCATCATTTGTGAGTAAAACTGAGGGCTTATGAGAATATGTATTTTGTATTTACATAATAAACTGGAGGGATCTACAAACTAAAAAAAATGGTTGCCAATGATGAGGTAAGAACTGGGCAGACAGAGAATAGGGGAAAGATCATATTAAAATTTTTCCCTGTATATCTTTTTATATTTTTGGATTTTTTTTTTTTTTTTGAGACAGGGTCTCTCTCACTCTGTTGCCTGGGCTAGAGTGCAGTGGTATCATCATAGCTCACTGCAACCTCCAATGCCTGGGCTCAAGTGATCCTCCTGCCTTAGCCTCCCAAGTAGCTGGGACTACAGGTGCATGCCACCACGCCCGACTAATTTTAAAAAATGATTTGTAGAGATGAGGTTTCTCACTATGTTGCTCAGGCTGGTCTCAAACTCCTGGGCTCAAGTGATCCTCCTGCCTCAGCCTTCCAAAGTGCTAGGATTACAGGTGTAAGCCATTGTGCCTGGCCTTATTTTTGGATTTTTGAATCATGTATATGTATACTATCTATTTAAGATTTTAAATGAAGATCAAGTAAAAAGATAAAAACAAAATCCCCCAAACAAAAAATAAGTCCAACAAATGCCTCCTCTTCCACTAAACACCCTAAAACAAATAACAAAAGTTCTAAATAGATTTTGAGTATATTGGCTCTACACTTTGTAGCCAACCTCCTGAATTAGGCTTGGAATGGCTATGAGCAATCCAACATATTTCTGCTAGGAAAGCCAGGCATTCTTAAGTTATCTTGTTCTTTCTGTGTTTTTAATGAAGCTTATTGTACCTTTCTAATAGGTTACAATATCACCATCATCTTGTATAGTTGTACTTAATTTAAATTTTCAGTTCACATGTCCAGAGGCATAATTCAAACTCTCTTAAATAATTTTTTTATTACATTGTTTATTTTTTTATTTTTATTTTTTTTTTATTTCAGCATATTATGGGGGTACAGATGTTTAGGTTACGTATGTTGCCCTTGCCCCCCCCAAGTCCAAGTTTCAAATATGTCCATCCTTCGGGTGGTGCGCATTGCACTCTTTGTGTATGCATATACCCGTCCCCTCCCCCCTCCTCCCTCCTGCCCAACGTCCAATAGATGTTATTCTTATATGTGCACTTATGTGTTGATGAGTTAATACCAATTTGATGGTGAGTACATGTGGTACTTGTCTTTAAATAATTTTTAACATTAATTTAGTTAGATCATCTATTAATATAATTACTACACTGCCCTATCCATGGCCCATGGGCTTTGTGAGTTTTCCTTTTTTCCTTTCTTTTTCACCCTTTATACATATTCTGGTTAAATTCTTTTTTTTTTAAAGAGTCAAGGTCTCACTATGTTGCCCAGGCTGGTCTCAAACTCCTGAGCTCAAGCCATCCTCCTGCCTTAGCCTCTCAAGTAGCTGGAACTACGGGCACATGCCACCTTGCCCAGCTTCTGGTTAAATTCCTGACAGCTGTATAAAGATCATACAAAATCATGCAAGTACTATCCATTTAAATATACTGGCTACATGTAGTATATCTATGGCAATAACATGGAAAACAGAGAATTTCCTGTTTATGTCATAAGTATATGTTTTTATAATAAGAATCAAATTTTATCCTGTGATCTAATACAGATTTTACTGGTTTTAAGGAAGTCAATGCATGGGTTACCTCTCTGAAAAATCAACCAGAACATTTTTTAAAGAAAATCCAAATCTGTACTCAGATGGAATGAATTCAGGACACTGCCCCAGGCTTTTTCCTAGAAATCCCATCCCTCCCTTTGGGTTGAATAAATTACAAGTGTGTTACTTCTTAAGATTTAGTATAACACTCCCCCTTTTTAGGCCAAAGTACTAATGGGTGAATTTTAAAACCAGAAAAATATGTATTTACTTCACTTATATGACAGTTGAAAGGAACAAATATCCTGAAACTCATTTATTAATCATTTGCTGTGAATCTCCTTTTTTCTTGAGTATTAAAAGTAATGCTGCTTGGCCGGGCGCGGTGGCTCACGCCTGTAATCCTAGCACTCTGGGAGGCCGAGGCGGGTGGATCGCTCAAGCTCAGGAGTTCCAGACCAGCCTGAGCAAGAGCGAGACCCCGTCTCTACCAAAAAACAGAAAGAAATGATCTGGACAACTAAAAATATATATATAGAAAAAATTAGCTTGGCATGGTGGCGCATGCCTGTAGTCCCAGCTAGTTGGGAGGCTGAGGCAGAAGGATCGCTTAAGCCGAGGAGTCTGAGGTTGCTGTGAGCTAGGCTGACGCCACGGCACTCACTCTAGCCAGGGCAACAGAGCGAGACTCTGTCTCAAAAAAAAAAAAAAAAAAGTAATGCTGCTTGAAGTGCCAGTCTGCTACAAAATAGCTAGCTTGTGCTGGAATGTAAATCAACACATTGCTTTCTTCTTCGACAAAGTCTTGTTGTATAGAAAAAAAGTCAGCTGAATCAAATAGTGTGTTTAGTGACACAACTGATTTATATCATGGTGCCAGCTCTTTATCTTGTCCTGGACCAGTAACAAATTCTTAAGACCGGTGGTTGATCCAATAAACCACATTTTCAAAAGCAAGGGATTTAAAAGAGGACAAAACAAGGTCCAAAAAACCTCTCAAGAATCTTACAATGTAAGGGGAGATAAGTCATGTACACATATAATTAAAATACAAATAGAATACTTCAAGACAAAGGTATACATAAAAGTGCTATGAGTTCAACGAAAAGAGAAATGATTTGCCTTTAAGAGATTAAAAATAGAGCTTAAAAGTGGGGTGGTATTCTAACTAGGTGGATATAGGCAGGAAAATGAAATAAGCAAAAGGTTGGAAATTTTGGGAAGATTGAGAATTTTAGTTTAGTAGGAGAGTAGATTAAATGAAATCTAGCAGGAAATAAAGCATGTATAGAATGAAGTCAGATTGTAGTACTCTTTGTAATCTCGTAAGCAAATGAAAAATTTTTTTGTTTTGAGGGGATGAAAACAATAAATGAGAAAAGCTGTGCTTTGAAAAAATCATTTCTGGCAATAATGTAAAAAATGGATTGGACAAGAATGAGTAAACAGAAAGGAAAAACAAATGAGAAAGATCTATAAAAATGATTCAAAGTTATTTATGTAGTTTATATCTAGAAAGTAAATCAGTACAAATAGAAGATAAAGGCCTTCCCCCAGCCCCAGAATAAGTCAATGATCTTCTATATTAAAAATATGAGATATGGGCCGGGCTCGGTGGCTCATGCCTGTAATCCTAGCACTCCTGGGAGGCGGAGGCAGGTGGATCGCTCAAGGTCAGGAGTTCGAGACCAGCCTGAGCAAGAGCGAGACCCCGTTTCTACTAAAAATAGAAAGAAATTAATCGGACAACTAAAAATACATAGAAAAAATTAGCCAGGCATGGTGGCGCATGCC